AAATTTCAAAAAAAAAAAAAAAAAAAAAAGTGAATCTATGTCAGCGACCCACAATTTTCTTTCAATTTATAGGATCCCTTATTATTGTTTGTGTTCATATTCTTTATGTTAAATTAGCTAAATTATTGAAAATATTTGTACTTTATTTTAAAATATTTTAAATTTTCATTTAGTTGAAAATTATCATTACCAACATCCGAAAAAAACTAAATAAATGGCAATTAGTCGTAAAGTGGTTCATCTAAGAGATTGAGGAAGTCGAACAAAATCTTGTCCTCTTGATGGAACAAAGTTTCTATGAATGTGTTTTCAGTAGACGATGAAGCTTCAACATCATCGTTTTCAGTCAAGCAATGCATTGCTTCAAATCTGTCGTATTGGTACTCAGATTTCTCTTTGTTCATCTCTTCTTTTGATGTTCCATTTTGTGTTTGGAAAGCATTTTGATTTAATGCAAACTCAGCTACATTTTCGTGTTCTCGAGGCTCGGAAGGTAAGAACGCGTCTTCGAGAAGAAAATCCTGCCAGATAAAGGCTGAGGAAGAAGAAGAAGAAGATGAAGATGGTAAATAGGCTTGAGTATTGAAATGGGGTTGAATTGGTTCATTGGAAGTGCAATGTGAGGCTTCTGTCACCAGCTGCATTGCTTGCAGCTGAGCCAGAAGATTCAAAGAAGGGTTGGTGTTCAATTGGTGGACGTTGCCATTCATGAACTTGTCTATGGATGGTTCAGTTTCTGGCAATAGCATCGTGGGCGTCGACATAACGACATCGATGCCTCTGAAGAGTTCTTGAGCTGAATTTGAGTGTTGTTCTGGTTTCATATAAGGTGAAGTTTTCAAGTCTCTATTAAGAGACCCAATTCTATTGGTGGATCTTGGGAGGCCACCAATGTTTCCATAATCGGCTAAGATTTGGGAGAATGGCTTGTGAGTAACTGGATCGATTCCCATTTCAGAAAGCTTTTTTCGCAGCTTGGTGTTCCAGTAATTCTTCACATCATTATCAGTTCTTCCAGGAAGCTGCTGAGCTATTATAGCCCATCTGCACTCACGCACAAGAATAACACAAAATAGTGAGAACAGCCATTAGTCCTCTTTAAGTATAACACCTTCTTGTCACTAATGTACCTGCTACCAATTGCTGCATGAAGCCTGATAATCAATTCCTCCTCTTGTGGTGTAAAGTTGTGATGCTTAAGATCAGGCCTCAAGTAACTCGTCCATCTAAGTCTACAGCTCTTCCCACATCTCCTTAATCCTATGAAACATCTCAAACACAGTATCCAAGTTCACAGGAGCATCTATGTATAAAAAAAATCAACCAAAATCATCAGAAGTTCAAGTGTTAACCTGCTTTCTTTGGAGCCGAGGTCCAATTACTTGTCCCGTGCTTCGATACGTAAGCGAGTATTTTCGCATCTTCCTCTGCAGTCCAAAGACCCCTTTTGAGGTTTAGTTTGTCACAGCAAGGAACTCTAACCATATTTTATCCGTTCCTCCTCGAACACATCAAAAAATATGAAATGAAGGGGCGAAATTTGAGTTAAAAAAAAGGTTGTTTGAAAATGGTCCTTAAAGGGAATGGGAGGAAGAAATGATATTGTTTAGGAGGTATGATAAGTGTGGAAGCAAGAAAAGCATGGACGTCAACAACAGAGTCTAAGAGAAATAATGACCTTTCTGTGTCTTGGAATATTTGGAGCAGGTTTGAATCAGGTGAATTATTCGGTTAACCATTCTTTTAATTGCTGGTATTTAATACTCAGTCATGTGCATTGCATCTAAGTAATAATATAAGCAATATCTGCAAGTGATATAAGCAGCACACCCATCCAACCCATTATATGTAGAGGGCGATTTAAAATGAGTATCATAATACATCTAAAACCCAACTCTTCGGGTTACAATATGAATCAAAAGGTTATTGTACAATGATGGGTAAAAGTATAGAAACACCTTCCATCTTTTGTTGGGTTTTCGTTGAATGTGGACATTACTTAAAAAAAAATGGACTCTCTAATCTATCATCTTATCATCATCATCCGTTTGCTCCTTGCTGCACTAACTGCACCAAGATGACTGACTGCTCCAAATTGGCCTGAGGAAGAAGGAACTCCGATGCTAATATCTTCTGCAGGCGCTTACCACAAAATTTATACTTTACTATTATCGTACACTCCGATTTCACGAGCGAAAACTATTAGAACTCATTTGTATCATCTTTCGTTTCTGTGGTTGGAGCATCGTCGAAACCAGAGCCGGGAGCAAGCTCGTTTAGGTCGAGAAGTCTTTTTGATGCACCATCGGTTTCATCTTGATCTGGGCCGTTCGACTTTTCAGGAGGAGGATTTTTCTCCTCTATGTTCTCGGCATAAACTTCATCAGGTTGATCGACTTTCATTACTTGGTCGTCGTTGTCTTCTTCTTCTTCTTCGTCGTCGTCGTCCTCGTTGTCAGACTCTCGACTTTCAACTGAATAATCCCCATTCTCATTCTCACTAGCATCTGTGTGCTCATCAGACGCATTGGCATTGGCATTGGCATTGGTCTTTTTAACTTTATTATTCTCTGGTTCAGATTCTGATAGATCATATTGTCCATAATTTATTTTGCTTCGAGTCGCCCTTCTACTACGTCTAAGACCGGACTGAATCTCGCCAGACGACCTTAACTTTGTTTCCCTCCGTGTACGTCCTCGCAATTTTTTTACTTTACGTCGCTGGTCGCTATCTTCACTAATGCTCAACGATTCTTCTTCTTCCTCCTCCTCCTCCTCTTCCTCGTTTTCCTCTTCATAGTGATACTCCTCATCGCCTTCGGAACTGCTCGATGTCTTCCTCCTCTGCTTGCGTTTTCGTAAATACTCCTCGTCGTATACAGCTTCACCAACGATGTCATCATCACTGTCGAAATCTGCATCATTATCTGATAATGCTTCCACGTAATCCTTTTCAGAATACCGTTGTGGCCTTTGTCTTCGCCTATTGCTAAATGGAAAATCAACAACTTAGAACAAACCTGGTAATACTTCAAGGTAACAGAAACACAAAGTTTACCATGTTCTACACCTGCGATCCAACTGTTCGGACATATGGTCTTCATCGACGTCGTCATAATCAGGCGACTTGGGAGATAGTGCACTGAAATTGAAGTTTTGAGACGCAAATGATGGACTGCTCCATTTTCCGTTCGCAGAAGGTTCGAGATTTACAGCAGCTTCTCTTCTGTGATTAGGTTCTGGAGATGGTGGCTTACGCCTGACACAAGAGAGAAGATGATACTATAAGGCCTAGGGAGAAGATGAGGATCTCATAGTAAAGGAGAAAGATACTAAATCCATACTTGGTTGTCTTGATAGCCTCATTGATTGATCGGTCATAATCATCTGCAAAATGAGTATTGGGATATTAGCATATCAGGATTTTGCTTGTTCAGTTCTCATCGAAAAAGCGTATAAAAATCACGAACTAAAATAGCTAAAAACTTCCCGAAAACGAAAGAACAAAGACCGAACTAAAATCTGCATACCGAAAGTATAAGTGACGGGTTTTCTGTCACGAAGTGAGCGTCCTGGACCAAGCCCGTCGACAAGTGCAAAATTATCCAAGAGAAGAGCTTGTCTATGCTGTTTTTTCAGCAACCTTTCTTTTCTCTGTTAGAATAAGTAAATGCAGCACTTGAGCAAGAATAAGCAAGGATCTGAGGATAAAATCACATCCAGACCAAGTAAATGCAGCACGATCAAGTACCTTATGAACTTTCTCGATCTCGGGAAGCATGTCGATCTTCAACTTTTTCCCAAGTGAAGCCTCTGATCGATTTTTACTCGTGAAAAGCTTTTCCTGCAGCATCATTCATAGAAAGAAGTTCTAACAAGATATTGGATCACAGAGTTCAAAGATTCGGTACGACGCGGTGGCCAGAAAACAACCATTAAATGGTATACACAAGAACAGAAAAGGTAAGGAACAAAGCTCATCCGATAAAAGATGGAAAAAGAACAAGAAGTGAGTAATGGATACTCATCAAGTTTAGAGACTCACTGATACATCTTGAAATTCATCAAAACTGGTTGCAACAGATTCCCACTGATATGTTGTACAAGGGAGGACCTGTGAACCTTTCTTGGCTTTTTTCGACTCGACTTTCCTAATCTCACGGTACAAACGATGACCAATTATGGGATCATCTTCGTACCTGCAATAACAATTGCCACATGGTCAACACACAAAATAACGCATTTATAAAGTCGATCAAAAAAACATGCCACAATATGATGAGGGTAAAACAAAACTACATTACCAGAAATAAGTTCCATGTGAATCTCCACCGATTCGTTCTTTGCGAAATGCTGAAAGTTGAACTCCATGTTTTAATGAATTTTCGATGTAGCTCCGGATATCTTCTTGCTGCAACAAACAAAAGAGCAAAAATGAATAACAATGCCTTAAACCCTGATTACTTGAAAGCTCAGAGAAAAAGGCAATGAATAACAAATTTGATGTTATTAAGAAAACGACAGTACCTCCACTCGAATGTCACATAGCGCTTTCAAGATGACCACACGCATCCCAGGATCAAGAGTTTTATAAACTTCTATTTCGACACTGAACACTCACGACGATTAGGCACATGAAAATGAAGAACATTATTGTATATGGGACAGGAAACCTGTAAGTACTCACCCGTGTGAAGCAACGATAGGCAGATCCCCTTCAGCAACCTGCATAATAGACCAAGGACTGTGGTTCAGATTGGAAGCTGGAAATATAGTATTCTACGACGGACACGAGAAAGGAATATATGGCTAAATAAGAAAAATAGGGTAGATACCCAGTGCCACCAGTCCCGTAATTTTCTGCACAACACAGTCACCCACGTATCCCGAGTGAGGGCCATTCTTGTAATAGGAGGAATTGCCTGAAAAACAGAGTAAAAGTTATAGGGAGCTCTTGTTGAGAGCAAGAGAAACACATTTTCAAATGAACTAGCAACATAGTTAAGTCTGCATTAGATAACAAGGTTAACATAGAGGTGTGGTGGCAACTTGATCTAAGGATAAAATATTCCATTGATTACCGAAAAACAAACTATACGAACAAAACAAAAGGGTAAAATTTTCAGATTGAAGTAACGTGATGCTAAGCAAAGAAAACATGTGGCACCCAAGGAGGTCAAGACAAGTATAGTTTTTTCCCGCCTAAGCCCACCGCTAGTAGATATTGTCCTCTTTGCACTTTCCCTTCCGGACTTTCCCTCAAGGTTTTAAAATGCGTCCACTAGGGAGAGGTTTCCACATCCTTATAAGGAAATGCTTCGTTTCCCTCTCCAACCAATGTGGGAACTCACTCTTCCTTTTGATGGTGAGGGCGTTGAACACATGATCTGAGAGAAGAGCTTTGAGCATGCAAACGGGCCATGCGCCCTACTTCAATAACTAAAGTTCATCTCTGAGAACTAAATATTGAAATATCATCTAGCAGCCAACAAGAAGGGAAAAAGCTTAATTCACCTGACAAACTAAAACTGTGGTGAGCAAGTTATCAATCGACATTGTTTAATCATCAGGTGCTCTAAGTTTTCGATTTCCAAAAAATTAGAAAAGCTCTAAACATCAGAAGGCTAGCAACAAAAAATGGGATGGCTAATCATCTACAATACATATCCACCCAACAGTTTCAAAGTATTAAAAGATTTACCCGGGCACACGAGAGCATTTTACGAACCAAGCCGATACATTAGCATAAAAGCAATCGACAATATAACAGTTAAAAGTTGTTTTTAATCCAACAAAACATCGATCATCGAAAAGAAAATCCAACAATAGCATTCCCTGTCTAGTAAAAACACTTGCAAAAGACTAATTTTCATCATGAATGGTTCACGCACACTCTTCTTTCAATCAGAGAAGTAAAGCAAAACCACAAGCTCAGCACAAACATTGGAGTTAAAATTCAAGTTCGAACCTTTAGTAATGGAATGTGTATGTCACTCAAAGTGTCGTTGGGTGCAATCAAGGCCGTCTCAAACTCCTCCACTGTGAACTCATTACGAATATTCAGTAACGGCCTAAAGACCTGCAGCTCACAAAAGAGAAATTGAAGTCATAAACGCAGCAATATGCAAAATTTGGTGATGAAGACATAACTCGCCGAAGCTTACATGCAAGAAATTAAGTACTGACGCCAGTTCCCACTTGGACCGGAGGCTCCAACGCGGCAACTGTGAGGGCGAAGGCTCCTCAACCAACGGCGTCACGATCTTACTGCATTGCTGCTGCTCTGGAGACTCGTCGTTTTGCTGCTCCTTTTTAGGCTTCGGCTTCCGCTCGACCACTGACTGAGCCGCCAACAGCCGCTCGGCAGCACGAATAGTGCAAGCGCGAGAGGGTCGGTTCCTCCTCGTGGTTGGCTGTTCACTGTTGGTCGTTGTGGTCGTGGTCGTGGGCTCGTTCTCGGCAATAGCCGTTCTGGGGTTGGGGTTTTCGATGTGGGAAAGTGGCTCAGGGGAGGATCGGTCACAAGGGATCGGAGGAGAAGAAGAATCTTGCGACATAGTCGGGGAGATCACGAACGAGAAAGCGAGTTAAAGAAGGAAGATTACATGTAAAAGAAACCCAGTTGGGGATATTTGCATTTGAAAGAGAAACGAATTAGAAACAACAAAAAGGGTTAGTTTTAATTGTTAACAGAGAACCCAGAAGCGCAAAGACGAAGATGGAGGACCAAAGGTCCAAACCATCATTGAAGGAAAAGAGTTAGGTTTTTGTATTTCTATGCTAAACGTGTTTGTTTTCTTCCTTGCCTTTTTCCCCCCACAACGAAATGGGGGAAATTTTAACAAGACAACAAACACAGAAGAAGGGGAGAGGAAACAGAAATTGTGGAAGATGGGGGGAATAAAGAGATTGAAGGGCTAAGGACACTACCTGGAAATTGGATTTGAGAGCCTTTGAATTTGTTTTTAACGTATCAGTAAATTCCTTTCCCTGAATCAATGTTTCAAACAACCCCCTTTAATAAATCTATCATAAAGATCGAATTTTTATGCTTACCCAACCATTTATGTTTGCTGTGGCCTGTAAGGATGTAAAAGAAAGGGGGAAATAATAAGATAATTTTAGGGTTTTCCTCTCCCCTGCCTCCACCCTTGTGATCCCATTGGTGGGTTACTGTTTGAATGTCCTTTCTTTTCACCCATCAAACTTGTTGATCCAACGAAGTTTAGAACTTTGGGTTTGCTTTTAACAAAAAGGAATAGAAACCCCTTTCATTTTCAATTTCAATGGTGTGTATGGCTCTCTGGGTTTTTCTATATTTACCTTGTACCCTTTTGAGGGGTTTTTGTTGTATTAAAAGTTAACATTGCTAATTAAGGAGTTAAGCTGCTTAATAAACCATTCTAAGCAAAAAAGGCAGCTGATCTAAATGAGTCAACTTTCTGCTAAATCCTGGATTTACATCAGCAAGATGAAATAAATATATTTGTTTTGAAGATTCTTCCTTTTATGTTGGAATTTAATGTGAGAGGCTCTCTGTAGCAGTCAGGTTGCAATCATTTTGGGATTTCATCATGAACAGAAATGAAAGCCCAATACCCACACCTTCGATCTGCTTTCAAAACCCACCGTTTAGTCTCATGATTCTAAAACGCATATGTTATGGAGATGTTTTCACATCTTTATAAGGAATGTTTCGTTCTCCTCTCGAACCAATATGGGGTCTAAAGATTATCCTCGCTTGTTTAATAATTAAGTAGTCTCTCTTTCATGCCCATCAAAGATCTCAGTTCAAAAGGATTTTGGAGAGTTCATGAAATGCCATTTTTAGGATGAACTGACAAGGCCACCTCTGTTGGCTTCGATCAATCAACGTCGATGAAATTTGGTTTGAACAAACCTCTGCAATCAGAGTTTCACTTTTACATCTATGCATTTGGTGATGGGAGCTCCTTTATGATTAGTCTCTCTCCATTTTTCCCCTTACTTTTTGTGGCTCAGAGTAATTTTGGCAGTCAATCATTCACTCTTTTCATTTGTCTGTTTACGGATAATGTATGAACACTGAATGCAATTCGTCCGTAGAAAACAAATAGAATTTGAATGCAACTTTTGTACACCGTTGGTGCAGCAATCATACACCTAAACATTATAAACACATTTTTCTCGTAACTTTTCACAGTATCAGGCAATATAGTAGCCAACTATATAAATTCGACAGTAAATCGAGCGAGAGGGAGAAGGGAGAAGCAGGGCTCGAAGAACGAACCAAGCAGCGAACAAAAGTTGAAACTATGAGCCTCCTTTCTCTTGCACATGGCCAACCCTGAACTCTGTTCTCCATCAAGTGAACGAGAGGCTATCATGTCCTCCACGAAGCCATTTAAGAGTCATCCATTTTGGCTGGTTCTTGCTTCTCGACAGCATATGTTGTAGGACTGACGGGCGCTGCAGACATTGGCAGAGACAAACTTGATTTTGCTTTCTATAGAGTTTTAGGAGGCAACCAGATTGGAGTAAAAATGTAACTCTCGCAAACCTCAAGAACAATAGATCAACCACCTTGAAGTACATACAACTAAAACCTTCCAGAAAAAGGGGCCTCATAGGATATAAGAAAGTTAATGCAGAAACTGAAAAGAGATGAAGATGCACCAAGAATATACACACCTGAAATCTATCCAGCTTTCAGCAACGGGTCGCTAATCATTTTGTGTCACGACCCGATTTTCGAGGCTTCGAAAATCAGACCGTGAACCAAAAGGCGAAATCGAAAACAAACAAAAAGAAAGTAGAAGAAAAGAAAAACCAAAGTAAAAATATAAAAATACTTTGAATTAAAACAAAAGAGAGAAATTTCGTTTGTTAATTATTACAAAAGAAATTGCAAATATAAAATGAAATACAAAAGACTCTAAAAGACCGAAAAGGGACTGACGCTCCGGAACGACCCCCTCTGTGACTGTACAACTCTCAAACGCTCCTCTACCTCGACCAGCAGCCAGTGAACACCTGAGAAAAATAAATGAGAACGGGATGAGTATAAAAATTATACTCAGTAAGCCACCTACTTGTAGGCTCTCTTCGCATCTTAATTTAACAGAACTCCCACGGTTCCCTAATTCGGTTCTAGGACATTGGGTTCTAACCTTAGTCTATCGGGGCTTGCCCCTTGGGTTTCACCGGTTCATCGTCCTTTCATTAGTCACCTAGAGGTTCCTTATGCC